GAGCTGAAGAGCTGAGGGACAGTGCCCAGGCCCAGAGTTCAGGCCCCATGACTGGACCCAAAAAAAATAGCAAACTAGACAAGCACTGGTGGCTCACAACTGTAATCCTTGTTACTTAGGAGGTTAAGATCTGAGGATAGTGATTGGAAGCTAGCCTAGGCGAGAAAGTCTGTGAGACTTTTTTTTGGGGGGGAGGGGGTCCAGTTGTGGGGCCTGAACTCTGGGCCTGGGTGCTGTCCCTCATCTCTTCAGCTCAAGGCTAGCACTCTACCACTTGAGCCACAGCGCCACTTCCGGTTTTTTTCTTTTTGCTTATGTGGTGCTGAGGAATCGAACCTAGGGCATCATGCATTCAAAGTAAGCGCTCTACCACTGAGCCACCTTCCCAGGCCAGTGAGACTTTTTATCTCCAATAAACTACTTACAGAAAGCCACAAATGGGGCTGTGGCCCAAGTGGTAGAGTGCTAGCCTTGAGCCAAAGAAACCCAGGGACAGGACCCAGGCCCAGAGTTAAAGCTGCAGAACCAGGGGAAAAATCCCCAGACTGGCACATATTCATTTATTAGTCTGTTTATTTGTGTTGGTCTCTGAGTTTTTCTACTCCAGGCTAGAACTTGACCCCAGCTCCACTTTTGGCTTTTTGGTGGTTAATTGGAGATGAGTCTCATGGACTTTTCCTGCGTGGACTGGCTTCAAACTGGGATCAGCCTCCTGAATAGGATAATAGGTGTGAGCCCCAGCTGTAATTTTTAAAAATTATTAGCATATATGAGTTAAAAAAGGGGTGGTGTTCATTTTTCCCCACATTTATACAATGTATTCCAGACTCACTTCCTTTATCTCACTTCCTTTACCTTCCTGAAACAATATTAGCAGGATTCATTGTTCCATTTTTATACATGCAAATACTTTCATATTCAGGCTATAATTTTTTTTCCCTTATAGAGGTAGGAATGCCTATTTAGATCAGGCTAGAACCCTTATTGTATAAAGCAGCTTTGGAATAGCATGAGAGGGGTTTGCTGGTCCATCCAACAAGCCATTCACCAAGAAAAGACCAGGCTTCTTAGGCCCATTGTACTTTTCCCAATCTGGCAGATTTTGTGTGTCACTGGGGGCAAGTTTTCTTTTTCTGTTAGTTGTGGGGCCTGAACTCTGGGCCTGGGCACTGTCCCTCAGCACTTCACCTCAAGGTTAGCGCTCTACCATTTGAGATAAGCTCCACTTAAGCCTTTTTCTGCTTATGTGGTGCTGAGGAATTGAACCCAGGGCCTCGTGCATACAAGGCAAGCACTTTACCACTGAGCCACCTTCCCAGCCTGGGGGCAAGTTTTCATTGAGCTTTCCATTCTCAGTCTTTACCCAAGGTGTCTGGGGCAACCAAGGATTTCTAAACCCTTTGACACCGAAGAGGTGTTCCTAATCTGCATGTATAAAAGGCTCCCTATCTTCAACTCCTAAATTGTTGAAACAAAATGGATTTGAGAGTGAATTTGTTTTTTGAGTGAATTGAAAGAATGTCTAGAAAGTATAGCCATGAGTTCAGTTCTAGCATCCTACTTAGGATCACTCCTTGTGTTAACTAACCTTATGTCAACACAGGATTGTTTCATCAAGAAGGGGCTGGGGGGGTGGCTCAGTGGTAGAGCACTTGCCTTGCATGCGTGAGGGTCTGGGTTTGATTCCTCAGCACCACATAAACAAAAAAAAAGCCAGAAGTGGTGCTGCGGCTCAAGTGGTAGAGCGCTAGCCTTGAGCTGAAGAGCTGAGGGACAGTGCCCAGGCCCAGAGTCCAGACCCCACGACTGAACCAAAAAAAAAAAAAAAGAATTTTATGAATGTGTAAGACTTGAGAAGGTGTACCAATCTTTTTTTTTTTGGGGGGGTCTGGTCCTGGGGCCTGAACTCTGGGCCTGGGTGCTATCCCTCAGGTCTTCAGCTCAAGGCTAGCGCTCTACCACTTGAACCACAGTGCCACTTCCGGCTTTTTTCTTTTTGCTTATGTGGTGCTGAGGAATCGAACCCAGGGCCTCATGCATGCAAGGCAGGCGCTCTACCACTGAGCCAACTTCCCATTCCAAGGTGTTCCAATCTTAAGTAAGTTGAAAATGTAAGGGGGAAATGCATTAATATACTGAACCTGCTGAACTATGTCATAGCTGAGCAATGTATACTGGCAGATAACTTTCCTTTAGTAGCTGAGTAGAAGCTGCAGTTCAGCTGCCCACCATTGCAAGAGGGTATTGCTAGCCCAGGAGAAGACTTTTTTTTATTTTATTTTATTTATTTATTTATTTTGGTCGGCGTGGGGCTTGAACTCTGGGCCTGGACTCTGTCCTCAGCTCTTCAGCTCAAGGCAAGCGCTCTACCACTTGAGCTGCAGCGCCACTTCCGGTTTTCTGGTGGTTTATTGGAGATAAGAGTCTCACGGTCTCTCCTGCCCGGGCTGGCTTTGAACTGTGATCCTCAGATCTCAGCCTCCTGAGTAGCTAGGATTACAGGCGTGAGCCACCAGCGCCCGGCTCCAGGAGAAGATTATAACTGAAAGCATGTTACTTTTTTTTTTTTTTAATTTTTTATTGTAAAGATACTATACAGAGGGTTACAGTTACATGAGTGAGGTAATGAGTACACTTCCTCTTGAACATTGTTAGCCCCTCCATTGTTTTCCCCCTACCATCCCCTCCCTCCCTCCCTTCCCCAAAGTTCTTTTTTTTTTTTTGATTGTGATTAAGTGATTACATAATTTCTAAGTCACAAGTTCATTCTAACTTTCCTGGAGCAAATTGTCTATCACAGTCTGTAATATATAACAGTGTTCACATGTTATACACCATACATGTGATCAGCAGCATGGGGATATTTAGTAGTGGTTCAACCAGATGAGCAGGAGTTCTTTGTTTCTTAAGTCCTGAAAAGCTTGTTACTTTTATACGATGGTGAAGTCCATAGGTTCTCAGGCAAATTATAATAAGTTGGGGTTTAGCTGAATTCTTTTTTTTTTTTCCTTTTTCTTTTTGGTTGGTTGTGGGGCTTGAACTCTGGGCCTGGACTCTGTCCCTCAGCTCTTCAGCTCAAGGTGAGCACTCTACCACTTGAGCCACAGCACCACTTCCAGTTTTCTGGTGGCTTATTGGAGATAGCAGTCTTACGGTCTTTCCTGCCCGGACTGGCTTTGAACCTTGATCCTCAGATCTCAGCCTCCTGAGTAGCTAGGATTACAGGCGTGAGCCACCAGCGCCCGCTATAGCTGAATTCTAAGCCACTGTGGTTGCCCTCACTTCAGATAAGAAGGATAACCTGGGGCTCAGGTTTCCTGCTTGTGAAGTGTTTGCCCCCTGCCAGTGGATTTCCTGCTGTGGGCCAGAAACTGCTAAGGGTTTACCCACAGTACATCATTTACTCCTCAAGATCCTAGAGCAAAGCCCCGCTGTAGTATAATGTTAAGAAACTGCTCTAGTCACCTAGCTAGAGTCCGTCAGTCTACTTAAATCCACGTACCTTGTTTCATCAGGGGTTCCGTCATGGCACCCCCACACCTTCAGTTATCTCTCTTTTGTCTTTCAGCTTGTAAATACTTTCTTCAGCTTCCTTCGACGCAAAACAGACTTTTTCATTGGAGGAGAAGAGGGGATGGCAGAGAAGGTGAGTGTTGGATTCCTGTCCCTTGAGCTGTGGTGTTTTTGTAGAAGAAAAGCTCATCTGGCCTTCTGTGGCATGCCAGGAGGTTTGAGAAGTCAAGCTGTCAATAGAGCCCACTCCTTGCTGCATAATTTCCTTACTTGTTTGCCATGTCTTCAGTAGTTTTATGAGAGGGGCAATGTTCATTATCCCCATTTTATAGATGAGGATGTTGACACAGGGATGTTTTGCATCCTGTGCAAGGTTTTGAGCTGAGCTGTAGGAGAAATTGGGATTGAAACCAGGATCTGTTGTGAGCTTCCCTTCTGTACTGCTTTTTTTTTTTTTTTTTGTCTGTCGTAGGGACTGAACTCTGGGCCTGGGCACTATCCCTCAGCTCTTCAGTTCAAGGCTAGTGCTATACCACTTGAGCCATAGCACCACTTCTGGCTTTTTCTGCTTAATATGGTGCTGAGGGATTGAACTCAGGGCCTCATGCATGCTAGGCAAGCACTCTACCACTGCGCTACCTTCCCAGCCCCCTGTACTGCTGCTTTAAAAGGTGTAGGGGCTTGAACTTAAGCTTGGTTTGCTAGTTCAGCTGGTGTTCTACCACTTGAACCATTCCTTCCCCCAGATTTTTTTT